CTAATCCCAAAAATAATTAAGGGACCTGATAGATTAAACTAGAACTCTGATGTGTATGCACACACACAAACACGCGCGCGCGTGAATATTACAGTTATATATAATCATTGATAAATTAATTGTCAAAATAAAAATAAAATTCATACAATAATAATTCATTATTATTACTAATTTATTAATATACATATATATGCATGTGTGTATATATGAATAATATATACATTTTTTTTAACATGGCCGGAGACACTACCGCGTCTCCTGATGTATACAATAATAAATAATGAATTATTATATAATTTCTATTTTAATTTATTTGAAATCGTTACGATATGGTAATTAATAAATGATAAGTAAAAATGTACGAGTAAAAGAGAAACGTCGTATTAACGTGTTCTCACTCATCAGCTGAAAACGGACGATTCACTCAAAAATACTCGCGTATACGTTTCTCGTTCATCAGCGGAAAAACGAGTATTGAAAACGGACAATCTCCTCAAAAATACTCATTGCATACTCGTGTATACTCACTATCGTTCCTTCATGATACACTGCGAGTGCTTGCGAGTGCAAGAAATGAGCAAGAACGGGCTAAAAACGGACTAAAAACGGGCTAAAAACGGGCTAAAAACGGGCTAAAAACGATGAAAAATTTTTATAAGGGTATATATCCTTGTACGTTGGAAATATATTGGACCAATCTTGGACCAATATTTAATCAATAACGTGCCAACAATTGTACTACTAGGAATTGATAATGTTGTCATATCGGCAAGATGATTACAACTTACCCCGCCATGTGCTTGGCGATAAATGTGTGATCGTTAAATATGTGTAGCTTTGTTCCTTTTTTCCTCCATTTACTTTTCTGTGCGAGAGAAAGTGGTACGAGGTAATGTCTAAAATTATAGAAAATATATAAAAAGGTGTAAAAACATATATGCTTTCTTCTAAAAATACAGAGGGAGAGGGAGAGAGAGAGAGAGAGAGAGAGAGAAGGAATTAATTGGAGGAAGAGTTAAACTTACTTCTTTATACCATTCTCCAAAGTTTCGAGAACGAGCGTGGAAGCTTCATTGACGTATGTTCTCGTAGATGTTCCGCTTATACCCGAAGCTTCACTCAAACTCGATCGTCTCGATTGTTCTGGTACTGATAGATGAACTACAAAAAGAAAATTAATTCGTATCAGATATACGCGTTAACATTCACTATAATGCAGATGAAAGAATAAAAAAGTAACTCTTGAAGCGTAAGAATAAATAAATTATAAATTAATAAAAAAAAATGGACTCGACTTTCATTAAGCACAATTGGTAGAAACTGTATGTTTTATTAACATATAGTAAGCACGGAACATTTATAATTGTGACAAATTATAATGATAAATTGAATACACACACAAATAATCAAATTTTTTCTAGAGTAAACTATTAATGTTATTAAATCTTTAAATGAGATCTAGGAATAAGGTAATTTTTCAAATTTATTAACGCTTATCGATTATTTTTGTCTGTTGAAAAGCAAAGTTTTCGTTCTTTCTTGCTAACAATACTTACCAATTAAAGTCGAATATCGTGAGAATTACACACACGTGAGCAAGACAGAGCGTGTACAAGTGAGTAATAATACGATACAATCGAAAAACGACTATGAATAAGATTAATAATCTCTTCGATAGAAGATCTCCTTCATACGAAGGTATTTACATCAATCGCAATCGAACAGATTTTTCTAAACACATATACTAATAGATATCAAACACGCAACCATTAAACAAATGTCAACTTGCTACAAAAACTATATGTTATTGCAGACATGATGACAATTAATTTAATTTATAAAAAAGAATACTGGAAAAGATATGGGGGAGGGGTATATTGAAATCTTACCAGATCCAGGGTCGCGAGCTCTGTCGGCGGATATGGATCTCGAATGAGCGTCTTCGTGATTGATCTCTCCTTCAGGACCCACTGATCTACTTCTCGTTTTGGATCGACTCAGTCGCTTCTTTATGGTTCCAAAGAAATCACGTCGTTTTCTTCGTGCTCTGCCTCTCTCTACACAAAATAAATGTTTTTTATTACATTTTACAAATTACTGCAAGAACACGATAATAAATACAATACGATAAATGCAATAAGAGAAAAATTAAATAACTTTTAAAGCAGTGTAAGAGAATTGTACTTAAATTTTATACCAATACTCAGACGTAATGATAAAACGATGTATGAAATTTTCATATTTCAATATGATTCAAAATGCTTTGAGATGTGACACATACTTAACATGAAATTATAATTTTATATATTATTAATTTTCGTGGATTGGAATTTTAATCACTTAAAAATTCTTACCTTCTGAATTGGAGGAATTAGGCGTGCTTTCTGGTCCCGAGATAGCATTGACATCTTTTGTTCCATGCTGCACAGATTGTTATAAAAAAGTTATACAAGTATGTGCAAAATCAATTTTTTGTTGCCATCGTAAAATTTCATTTATAAAGATAAAAATAATATTATACATGTATTTACTTACTTCCGGAGATACCTCTTGCCAGTTTCCAGTCTCCGTCAGAGCGACCTATTACACATTAGTAAATACACAGCACTCAACCACGGTTAATACTTTCATGAAACAGAAGAAAAATACTTAATGTAAAGTAAATTAAAATGCAACTCCAAATAACAACATTCTGAATTCATTTATCAAATTTTGTTCACCATACAACGATGTCTCTCTTAAGTTGCACCACATTGACAGAACTATTCCTGAGGTTTATTTATTTTTTCCCGTTATAGATAAAAAATAATTATTTTAATCACACGAAATATAAACAACCAATATCACGTACTTACCTTGACAATCTGCCGCTCTGGTTGCTGCAAGAGAAGTCAAATAAAAATCATGCTTTAGTAGAAAGTCACAATATGATCACAAAGAACATATTTATCAGGGATAAACAGCAAAACAAATCATTTTTATTAAAACAAATAATTCTCGGAGAATAAAAACAATTTTTGATTATATACACACAAATTGTTCTACGGAATTTTTGACAATTAGGAACTTTAAACTTTTATTCCATTTTCGCATATAGATTCAAGCTTGATATTTTTCACTTTTTATAACTTTATTTCACGCGAATGTTAATTTTTCGTGCAATAAGAAAAATTTGCATTCAGTTACTTCGTAAACTCACCCTTTGCTGACTATGTACAATCAAAGTTCCCTTATTACCGTTCGTTTGTCCGCTTTTGTATGGTGAATCCACAACATTACCATTTGTCAAATAGTCTGAAAAAATATTTTTCTAATAAAATTTAATTAAAAAAATTGAATTTGATAAAATCTACGACTCTCTCTATTTCTTTCTTTCTTTCTCTCTCTCTCTCTCTCTCTCTCTCTCTCTCTCTC